GGGATTTCAATACTTTTATTAGGGCTTGTGAAAAGTGGGGTCGGAATGATATTAAGAGTATTGCATCCGAGATGGAGGGGAAAACAGAGCAGGAAGTTGAAAGATATGCACAAGTTTTCGAGCAAAGATACAAAGAATTGAACGGTTAGGTGTAATTTATTAGTGCTTAGTTTTTCTTTTTGAATAAGATTCTAGACACAACTCGATATTGGATGTATTTAGGCTCTCTTAGCGGTTGAAATTAAGTATAATATTTTAATTTTTGGCAAATGTGATATTTCCAGATTATGACAGGATTATTAAGAATATTGAAAGAAGAAAGGCTACAATATCAAGGAGAGATGATATCATGAAAGCAATTGGGAAGAAATTGGATCGCTACAAGAATCCATGGCTCGAGTTAAGGATCCAGTGCGGCCAGAACAAAGGGAAGTTATACAATGAAGAATGTGACCGTTTCATGGTGAGACTTCCAATCATTTTAAGCTCCGATTTCTGTCTCGAGTCTGTCTCGTATTCTCTTTTACTGGATCCTTCCACAAATATGCATGGTTCACAAGCTTGGGTATGGTAACTGGGACGAGCTGAAGACAGCCCTCTGTACGTCACCCTTGTTTCGATTTGATTGGTTTGTAAAGTCATGTACAACTCAAGAACTTGCAAGGAGATGTGATATACTGATTCGGTTGGTGGAAAGGGAAAACCAAGAATAAGATTAGAGGGAGAGACAGGCTCGTAAAGAGAAGAAACTAGCAAAGGTTCATCAATCATCTTTCACGAGTAAAAAGTTCACTTATTATGTAGACATAAGTTTTAACATAGCCAAACTTACAAATAAGTTTTAAAATAGCCAAAACTACTCACTCTTGCCTTTGGAAGCCAGTGCTTGGCCTCCCTGTGTTGTCTTAGCTCATAACCTTTATCATTTTTATTCCTTAATAGAATATGACACCATCCAAACGTGAGATGGCTAGACAAGTTGCTGAGAGCCCTCCCACACAGAAGAAGCGCAAGCAATTATTGATGGATGATTATATGAACTCAGTACGTGGTTCTCATTCGTTTGCCTATGTCATCTTATTTTCTCAGAATTTGCTTCTATAACATTGTACATGTGATTAAACGAGAGCTATGATCTTTGGCAGGGAAAGAAAAGGAAATGATGTTGACTGATTGGGGCGACCCAAAGAGTCGAGTATTTTTGCCATATCAGAATTTCCTAGTTGGGGCATTGGATCCCTGTTTAGGATTATTTTGGCGGAAGCTACTTCTTGAAGCGAGTAATGTTGTACTATATCTAGATTGCTAATTAGAGTTGAGCTGTATAAATCTGATGCACACAGATTGTAATGATCTTGCTATGTACTTGCAATGATTCCAAAAATTATGTGTTTAGCAGTAAGCAACCTTTGGTTCTACACACCATCTCAGCCAGCACTGGGGGTGGGTAAGAATTGGTTCGTGTAATAGGAACAAAATTCGGACATCTTCCTGAAAATCTCTCATATACATACAATAAGATGCTGCATAGATCATTTCTTTAATGGGTTAACAATAATTGCCCAAAAGGACTAACCCCTTTCCATTCTTCTCAATTAAACATTATTTTGCTGAATTATTCCGTCAATACTGAGCTACAAGAACGATTTGACATGGAATAAGGCCTTCCTCGCAAGAACAAGAAAATGGCTAGTACAAGATAGTGCATGTCATAAGAGAATGGTTATTCTTATGTACTGTTTGCGATAAGGATGGTAAGGCAACTTTGCAATCAGAATAACATGTTGGAGTTTGATCAGATCTTTGTGCAACTACAAATTCATTAATTATCGAAGATCTAGCTATCCCACCAATTTCCAAACTAGCAATAAGTAAACATTCAACAACGAATTATCAATTTATACACCGGCTTATAAAGAAGATTGTGTATTCTTTAGTTAATATCGGAACTTCAAAATGGAAGGATGTAATCAGGATCAAGAGTCGCGCTACATGTACAGACGATGGTTTATAGATTCGGTACAAAAAAGACACGAGGGGTGGGATGGGCAGTTCATTTTTGGGGGGGGGGGGGAACACACATGGGCCAGCCCCATGTGAAGGGTCTGTATAGACCCTATAGAACAGTTCCCTGTACACAAGGAATTGCTCTCAGGACCAATCTCTCTGAGCATGAGAACCGAAATACAAGCATGTGAAGAACAATTCATACAGAACAAGCTTTTTTGTTAGGGTCGGTTGATATGAATTATTCTAGATGGATAGGGATTCGTACGAGTTATTCTAAACGAACAGGGTCTTTCTGTCCAGTCCCTCCATTGGCTGGGTCTGTCCTTCGTATTCTTGGTCTTGATTTCATCAATATATACATATAGTGTTAATTGTTCAACCTAGCTACCTTGAAGTCTAAAAGGTTAACTTATAAGCAATGAAGTTAATTTTAAAATAAATTGTTTTCATTAATTAAAGCGACAAATAAGTTACTTATTTTACGGACCCGACTTCATGTATAGGGCCAGGAGGGCATTGGCATCCCCCCAACCTATCACAAGGGGCCAGATGGCCCCCTGGCATGTCAGGGCCATCACGTTTATCTCTATTTTACTGTAAATAAAGGTTACTAATTTTAAACTTAACTTTGCAGTTTAAAACTAAGTAAAAAGTATTATATTTAAACACTTAAAATAAAAAATTACTTACAAGTAATATATACTGACTTTTGAGCTTAGTGAATACGGCTACAATATAATGCAAATTAATTAGCCTTGAGGTGCACACAAGCCAACATGTAAAAATACAGAAATTCGTTTGATAGCAAAAATAATTTAAGAGACACGTGTGAAATAACCTAATTGTTTTTTGGGTAAAAGGTTAATTTTTTTTTATTTTTTATTTTTTATCTTCTAAATTTTTGGAGAAGGTAATTATTGATCATGCGAATATTCTTTAGCCACAATAAAGATTTCTTGACAATTCTTTGGTGATTTTGTTTTAAAACTTGCTGTATAATAGAAAATAAGTTCATAGAATTCATGTGACACTCGATCCAAGTAAATTCATATGTCAATGTGTATAAATTTTTTGAATACATAATACGTTTCGCGAATCTTGTAAACTACTCTATACACAAACTCTGAAAAAAGGGAAATTGCTAAGAAAATTTATTTTTACCTTTTTGACATTTTTAAAATTAAATAATTGCTTAGGTTCAAGGATGACAAAAGAGTTCCATCTTGAGTTATTTTGAGGGCAATTATGGTACTATATATTGTTAGATGAAAGAAATATGTAAAGGAGTAATCCGAGCCTCGAGGCCTTAGGTTAAATTAGCTAGTGATTGAGCTGACTCTGAATAAAAGTATTAAGGTGGATTTTTATTTTGATCTAACTTTAGACTTTAGTACTTGTTAATCGGAGTTGCCAATATTTTCTAGGTCGACCACAACTTTTGTATAGTTGCAAAACCTTTATTCGACTCACGACTCTTCGAGGCAAAAAATTCTCAGATGCCAAAATTAAAGATAGGCCGGGCAAATGTAAGGAGATCTCAACAGGGAATCATAGTATTGCACAAAATCTTTATAAAGATTTTGGCAGGAAAAAAAAAATGGAAAAACAGGTGAAATTACTGAGACAACAAATCTGCATCAAATAGTATGCATAAAGCGTGTTTGTCCACTTGCCTCTTTGCAATATGTTCTTCTGCCTTTTTCATCTCTTTTCTTCTTTCAGAATTGGAATAATTACCATGAGAGAGAGAGAGAGAGAGAGAGAGAGAGAGACAGAGAGACCTCACAAAATCTAAAATTGATTCTTGTGATGCCAAGAACCGCCCTTGTTTTTGTTTATCTTTAGAAGTTGACATTCTTTTCTATGAAACACGCTTTTGCAGACGTGGTTCAACACTTTTATATTTGTTCATGAACGAGGATAAGAAAAACTCTAAACAAAATGGGAGACTGCAAAAGACTAACATGCATTCAATCTCGACTCCCAACAAATTAACAAGCTAGGTGACAACGCAAAAAATTACAAATTACTTAAACCGAAATTTCACATATATTTAAGGATTATGCCACTTTGTCTGAATGATTTTGACAAATGCAACGACAGAAGTATAGGTGATAGTAGATGTTGGATGAAACAGCACACTCAATAGCTCAATTATAGAATGCCGGGTGTCATTATGTCAACCTTTTTTCGAACATATCTGACATTGTAACATGATCGTACTTATAAAGTACGTATATTAACAAAGCATGCTCAAGTTTCAAAATTCATTTGCTATTACAAAGTCACAATTAATGTACATACAATGAAGAACACGACTCTTGGGATTATTTAGGGTCAGTTGAGGCACTTGCTTGCCCTATAGTTAAGGAAATGCCCTTTTGTGTACGGATACATCACATATACATTCGTACATGTACATATACATGTATGAATATCCACATACAAACCGTCTTTTCAATGTCTATCTAAAAAGATTAATCTTATCTAAATTATTATTTTCATATTTAAGCAACGTGCCTGCTTAATCGAGTTTTAGAATTTTAATCGACTTTTGAGCTTTGATAAAAAGAGCAGACTAGTATTTTGTGTCTTTGTGTTTAAGTCATGTGAGATTTTATTTATAAGCTTGTGAGTCATGAACATATATGAATGGTTGCAAAAATTCTGTGCCCTTTGCCTCTTGGCTTTTCCGTTGGAGAATTAGATGCGAATGTTGGTCCCAAATGGATAAATGCAACTTCCTTCTCTAACTCAACTTTATTAAAAATGAAAAAAAGAGAACCCAATCCTTAAAAGACAGAGAGCCGTATAAAGGACACGTCTCTATTTCCGGATGCAGAGATTTGTTATCGTCAACTTTCACTTTCAGTGAAAGAATCGAACGAGTAATCTAAAAAAAGAGAAATCTTAATTCCTCCAAATATTATCTATTGTACCACAATATTCCAGAACCATCCTTATTTTCTTATATAAATGTGACCATGAAATCTCCATTTTCGTCACACCAAACCCTAAATTCAACTTAATACACAATTTTTATTCACTCGTTTATTAAGTTTTTCGTCATTTTTGCTGCATTTTCTAGCAATGGAGAGTGTGAACAAAATGGTGGCAGAAAAACCAGTGGCGATCTTCAGCAAGAGTTCATGCTGCATGAGCCACTCGATCAAATCCCTCTTTACTGATTTTGGTGTTAATCCTGCAGTGTATGAACTTGATGAAATTCCAAGAGGTGGAGAGATTGAACAGGCTCTGTTAAGACTCGGTTGCAACCCGGCGGTCCCAGCGGTGTTCATTGGTGGCGAATTTGTGGGTGGATCCAATGAGATCATGAGTCTCCACCTCCGACGATCCTTAAAGCCAATGCTCAAAAGGGCTGGTGCATTATGGGTTTAAACCCTACTTCTTATATCTAAAACTATGACCAATGCATTTTTATTGCATTATGAATGGTAGAATTAGGATTAAATGTAATAATGTTATCCATAAATATATGGAGAGAGTGCCTGTGTGCTGCAGTTTTGCTAACAATATCAATGTTTTGACTAATAAAATAAACTCAAGTTTTGAATAATCAACAATTGCTGATCTTACGTTCTTTTTATTGTTTCACTTCATTTGGTTGCGAAGTGCATAGTTTTATGTCATCAAACCAGTCTGAAATTATTGCTATTATGATAATTGTAAAGTATGAACGTAAACATAATTTCCCAAATTTTGTAACGTTATGATTATTAACTAGAAATTAAATCAAATAGAAAGTGTATCTTGATCCATATCAAGTTATTAAGCAGATCAATATTTTGAAATTGTCGATGAAGAAACTCTATTTTTCTCTCTCACGACATCTTGAATTTGAACTAATTAAGTTGAAGGATGAAAGTACATTCACATTCATATATACGCGGGGAGAGGTAATTTATCATAAGCTTTAAAACTACAATTTTTCCATCAAACTGTGTAGTTAAGAAATTTCCCCCTTTCTCAAATTGACCAGTAGAGTTTTATCATATGATATTTTTGAAGTTTAATGATATGATATTCTAAATATTAAATCCCCTTAAAATATATTTTGTTGGACGCTGTTGTAGGTCTTGCATCCTCCTAAAGTATCAAATACATAGATATCATTAAATTCAAGAGGGAACTTGCAGTATTTTTTGTTAAGAAGACTTTGAGTGTACAAGGAAAACGAAAAAAAAATTTATTCAAAATTAAGTTTATATTAATGCACGAGGAACGACTTAAGAAATATGACAAATGGGTTTTACATAAGCTTAAACAAAAAAAAAAAAAACAAAAAAAACAAAAAAAAAGGACGATTTATGACATTATTCAAAAATAAGTATAGATCAGGGCCTGCACATGAATCAAAATGTTATAAATGAATTTTTCATTCGCTTAAACAAAAAGTGAAAGAACATTCAATATATTTTTCAAAATAAGTTTGGGTTAAGACTTGATGAACTGTTCAAAATGTTATATATGAATTTTATAAATTAAACAAAAAAAAAAAAACGAAATTGTTCTCATTATTTTTTAGGGCCCACGTACTGATCATTCCTAAAACCTCTATCGATAAAGTTAAGAGTAATGCTATATAGCTAAAGAGTACGTGTTAACTAAATAATAGTAATTGAACACCTTAAAATAAGATATACATGTCTTATTTAACATGTCCAATCATGTAATTAACACCTAGGGTTGCCAGTTAGGTTACATAGTATTAATCTAAAACTAATCATAAGACAACGTAATGATCCTATCCAATAAATGTCCATTCATTTGTTATTTTCGTTAACTATTTTTGGCGATATTTCCTTGGTTAAAGCATCTGTAATCATAAGATCGATACTAATATGCTGAATTATAGGACTCTTTACTTTTGAACTCTTCTCTAATGACAAAGTCTTTGAGTTTCATATGTTTAGCAAACTTGGAGTACATGTTATTCTTTAAAAAGAAGATTGTTAAACAATTATTATAATATATTTTCAATGGCTTGACAATAGTTTCGATAATGCAAAGTCCTCATCTGAAGTCCGAGAGTTAAAAATATGCAAACTTATCTGCCTCCATAGTGAATGCATCAATGACTAATCACTTCACATTTTTCTGCAGTAATATTGCCCCTCCAACTAAGAGGAACAAGTAGCAAAATATCGATTTTCTTCCATTAACATGTCCAGCAAAATGTGAATTCGAATATCTAATTACCTCTATTAACAAATCTCATGATCTCCTACATGTGAGCAAGTGGTCATTCATCTCTTGATAGTATCTCAACAATTTCTTTGCAACTTCTAAATGATCTAATCTTGATTACTTCTATATCTTCCCAACATCACAATAACAAAATTGATGTTTGGTGCAATACACATGAAACCCCAAAAATATGAAATGATTCACAAGAAATTAAATATTGAACACAAGAAAATTTTCACCCACTAACAAGTTTGAATGTTCACATACTCTAAACGCTACTTGAGTGTTGAGCATCTAGAGAAGTAGATATGGCTTGAATACTAGAATCAAAATTAATCTTCAAAAAGTTCACTACAAGGCCAAGATATCATACAAATTTCTCCTAACTCTCATCTCTCCAAAACCTTACAAAAACAATGTTCACATGTACAATTACAATTCAGAAAATCACTTACATTTTCTATAAAGCAGATAAGGACCCAAAAAAAAAAAAGGGGAAGGAAAATGAGATTTGAAAGAACAGTTATGTTACCAAAGAAATTAACTATCAAGATTAATTCAAGAGATATTGATTCTTGTCCAAAATCAGGTTGTAACATCAAAATTCTAAAGAATTGAAAATTTTCCTCTTTGCATGTTTTCTTAATTCCAACATTTGATATCTACAGTTAAAATTAAATTTTGATCAAAAAGAGAAAGAAAAAAAAGAAAAAAGAAAAGAAAAGCTCGAGAATATGAGATCAGATACCAAAAGGATAGCAGCTGGGCATGCAAGATTGATATAATGAGATTTCAACAAAGGGAATCAAATATTTAAGAAATCTTATAAAGATTTTCATAAGAGAAAAGGTGATTGTAATGCAACAATCTGCAGCAACTAGCATAAAGCGTTGTTTGTCCACTTGCCTCATTGCAATATGTTCTCTCTCTCTCTCTCCAAATCTAAAACTAATCCGTGGAATGTGAATAACCGCCCTCGTTTTTTTTTTTTAAAATCTCCAGAAGTTGATATTCTTGACAGGTCTCATCACACATTCCTGTTAATTTCTTATGAATCTTATAAGCTTTTGTCACGATCTTAAAATAAGATATACATGTCTTATTTAACATGTCCAATCATGTAATTAACACCTAGGGTTGCCAGTTAGGTTACATAGTATTAATCTAAAACTAATCATAAGACAACGTAATGATCCTGTCCAATAAATGTCCATTCATTTTTTATTTTCGTTAACTATTTTTGGCGATATTTCCTTGGTTAAAGCATTTGTAATCATAAGATCGGTACTAATATGCTGAATTACAGGACTCTTTACTTTTGAACTCTTCTCTAACGACAAAGTCTTTGAGTTTCATATGTTTGGCAAACTTGGAGTACATGTTATTCTTTAAAAAGAAGATTGTTAAACAATTATTATAATATATTTTCAATGGCTTGACAATAGTTTCGATAATGCAAAGTCCTCATCTGAAGTCTGAGAGTTAAAAATATGCAAACTTATCTGCCTCCATAGTGAATGCATCAATCACTAATCACTTCACATTTTTCTGCAGTAATATTGCCCCTCCAACTAAGAGGAACAAGTAGCAAAACATCGATTTTCTTCCATTAACATGTCCAGCAAAATGTGAATTTGAATATCAAATTACCTCTATTAACAAATCTCATGATCTCCTACATGTGAGCAAGTGGTCATTCATCCCTTGTTGGTATCTCAACAATTTCTTTGCAAATTCTAAATGATCTAATCTTGATTACTTCTATATCTTCCCAACATCGCAATAACAGAATTGATGTTTGGTGCAATACACATGAGTCCCCCAAAAATATGAAATGATTCGCAAGAAATTAAATATTGAACACAAGAAAATTTTCACCCACTAACAAGTTTGAATGTTCACATACTCTAAACGCTACTTGAGTGTTGACCATCTAGCGAAGTAGATATGGCTTGAATACTAGAATCAAAATTAATCTTCAAAAAGTTCACTACAAGACCAAGAAATCATACAAATTTCTCCTCACTCTCATCTCTCCAAAACCTTACAAAAACAATGTTCACATGTACAATTACAATTCAGAAAATCACTTACATTTTCTATAAAGCAGATAAGGACCCAAAAAAAAAAAGGGAAGGAAATTGAGATTTGAAAGAACAGTTATGTTACCAAAGAAATTAACTATCAAGATTAATTCAAGAGATATTGATTCTTGTCCAAAATCAGGTTGTAACATCAAAATTCTAAAGAATTGAAAATTTTCCTCTTTGCATGTTTTCTTAATTCCAACATTTGATATCTACAGTTAAAATTAAATTTTGATCAAAAAGAGAAAGAAAAAAAAGAAAAAAGAAAAGAAAAGCTCGAGAATATGAGATCAGATACCAAAAGGATAGCAGCTGGGCATGCAAGATTGATATAATGAGATTTCAACAAAGGGAATCAAATATTTAAGAAATCTTATAAAGATTTTCATAAGAGAAAAGGTGATTGTAATGCAACAATCTGCAGCAACTAGCATAAAGCGTTGTTTGTCCACTTGCCTCATTGCAATATGTTCTCTCTCTCTCTCTCTCCAAATCTAAAACTAATCCGTGGAATGTGAATAACCGCCCTCGTTTTTTTTTTAAATCTCCAGAAGTTGATATTCTTGACAGGTCTCATCACACATTCCTGTTAATTTCTTATGAATCTTATAAGCTTTTGTCACGATTTTGCAAATGTGAACAATCTGTATTAGCAAATAGCAATCTTCTCCCATTATTTTTTTGCTTTCACTATTATGCATTCGGGAATCTAATACGCACGTGTAGCATTTCCTTTTGAAAAATGAAACTACTCGATTTCAAGAATAAGGTTGAATTCGACTAGAAATTGACTGTTCGGATATCCACCCAAACTGTTAGGACCATACTGTAATGTTCGGCATTTCTTTGTTGATAAATATCTATTATTTATTTATTTATTTTGCATTTATGTTATTGAGCATGCGATTAAGTGTTTTCGATAGTTTCGTGATAATACGAGTTGAATACTTGCATAGAAAAGCACTGAGAGATCTAGAATTGTTTTGTCCTATTCCATGAACAGCAGTTGACACTTTGTAAGAAGTCGTAGAGTCAAATTTTCTTAGGAGTAGTGACATTTGTACACTTAGAACTATATTGGACCGATTTGCAGAATTTTAGACTACATCATCATAAATTAGCTAAATTCAAGGAAGAAAGTCTTTGCTATATGCAGACTTGAAGGCTTTTGATGTGCCAGTCATTAATATTAACATATATGATCAAATATTTCGGTACATTGAAAACTTAGAGCAAGCAAATTATTAAGCACACAGTTCGAAACCTGTAACCAGTTGAGAGGATAATTGAGTCCGTTTATTTATATTCTACTAAACAAGCTGAAGCTTAGTATTTAGCAACGACTAAATTGATTTTGTGATTTGCATTGAAGAAAATGTGAGTTTAACAAGAAAATAATTAGAAGCCCGAGAAGACAATTTCAGCCAATTTCTTATTATTCAGTGTCTTGCGGAGTAAGACATAAATGTGGCAAGTCAATATGATATAATTACGAACTTTTTTTCTTTCTTTCTTTTTTTGTGATCTTATATAACTCAAACCATTAGTGTAGTAAGAGGAGACTATTCACCATTTACCGTGGATAGTTATTGGAGCTCGATTTATATAAGTTGATTGAGTCCATTTAATAGCTATTTAAAAATGCACGGACATGATTGGTCTAGCGATGAAATTTCAAGAAAAAAAAATGCCAAATTAATATCTAGAGAGAATATATTTTTGTTCCTTTTTTTTTTTTAATTAAGTTTCTTAAATTCAGTTGTAGGATTAGTTTTTGGTTCGTTGTGGTTCCCATTCACCAATATATCCAGTACTTTGGATGATAATGACGAAGATCTGTGAGTTTAAAACACAGATTCAAGAAATAGGATTGAATCCTTCCTGTCAGAAAATCCGAATTAATCATGCATCAATGGAAATTTCACTAAATCCTTATGCAATCATTAAAATGATTATACAATGAAGATACTAGCTTTTGTTATGGATGATTTCTCCAAATTTAATTTTGCAGATTGGCTAATTTCACAAAACATTTGACCTGAATTTGTTTTTTCTCTGTTGTCCAATATGAATTTCTTTTTGTATCGAGATTTCTTTTTGAATAGTTTTTTTATCCAGATTTTATTTGTTCATTATGAATAAGTTTTTAAACATGAGATTTTGTATCCATTTGTAATTTAGGGAGATTGATTGTGTAATTTTTGGAGATTTATATAGTTTATTGACAACGAGACGTAATTTATTGTTTGTTGATGGATTAAACATTCTTATGTAATTGAACTATTAGGCATATATTAAAGAATATCGATAAGCAAATGATAGGGAAAGAGCAACGTGATGAGTACAACATCACCATATATAGGACTGGACTATAGATCGAGAAACCCTAAATAGTGGCTCTTGGGATATGTTAGGTTCAGCTATAGTACTTATTCGGCCTATTCGTTTAGGACACAAATAATCACTTCCAAACAAGAGTTAATACTCATTTGAATTGAGAGTTAAGTAAAGTTTCTAGTACGTAGCAATGCAAAGGCTTTCTTGGGCAAGATGTAGCTTTATCGTAAAGATTTTTGGGAAAAAAAAAAAGAAAAAAAAGAAAAAGAACAAGAATACATGTAACGAACAAAAGTTAAAGATTAGGAACAAGAAGATGACTAACGGCATGAGGCTGCTTGCCGAAGAATCAAAGGTATTGCAAAGTTAACCAAAATTATATTATTCAATTATGGAGTTGGTTACAAAGTGACTATATAAATTGTAGAATCCCTAAAATGTAAATCTAACAAATAAAAGACTAAAGTGAAAAATTAAACTAAATTACCATCATCTTTAACAAGATTAATTATTATCATTACATTTGAACATAATGTAGATTTATTGAAATTTATTTAAACATATATATACACACACAGAGCATGTGAATTATGTCCCCACTGTTTTTTGGCTACCTGTTTTCCATGGGGCGAATTAGATGCGAATTTTGGTCCCAATTGGATAAATCCAACTTCTTTCACCAACTCAGCAGATGCTTATTGGAAAGGTACACCACAAAGAAATTACTCTACGAAAGTTGGACCACCGATTTCTAATTATCTTGCTGACAATAATGAAAAGCAAATTAGATTAATTTCGAAATTCTCTCTTTTTTCCATCACAAGATATTTTCCATTAAAAAAAAATAAAAATGAACCATCGTTTATAGCTTGAAAAAAGTTAGTTCTATGTTATACCAAATTTTTTATTTGAAATTGTTATCTAAGTGTCCAATGTGTGACCGTCATATATATTTTTGTTATGCAATACTTCAAAATGGTAAGTTGATTTATAGGAGCTATTCAATCTCCTATTCATTCTTCTGTAAATGTACGAAGGAAGAAAAAAAATCTCGAAAGCTCTATTTAACGATGACAATTTCAAAATATTGAGTTGGCTTAATCGTTTTTTATGTTGATCCTTACAAATGTGGATTTATAGTGTCCTAAATGATTCGAAGAAGACCTTGTTCTTTCAAACATCTATCCCTTTCATTAAATCGAGATCTAATCTCATAGATATGATGAATCTTTTGCCCCTAAATTCAATGGGGTTATGCTACATGAACTGCGGGAGTGACCGCTAGGATGATCGCATACACACACATGGGGGTGGAGATTTTTTAATTCACGCGAGACTCATTTATCTTATGTGAGGGCACGATCATTCCTGTGGTCATCGTCGCAGGTCAAGTGGCTTAACTCAAATCAATGTATGGAAAGGGGAGGGTGGAGAAATCCAGCTTTGCTTGAGGCTGCCGCGTCAAGGGTTCGAATCCTGAAATATGGATTTGGCTCTTGGGTAAGTGCAAGTGTACAAGTAGCCTTCTACCCTGTACCCTTGGAGGCATAACCTGCGATTTACCTCCCTCACAATACTCCAGGACAGGAGTGGTGGGGGACCCTTAAGGTTAGGGTTTAACCTTTTTTCTTTTTTTTTTTAGTTTGTGTTAACATTGATAGATCAATATATGTACATATGTATGATGACGTTAAAAACTCATAGTTGTCATCAGAAAAAGAGAAGCCGTACGTCCTAAGGACACGTCTCTATTTCCGTATGAAGAGATTCGTTATCGTCCAACTTTCGCTTTCAATGTAATGATAAAGAAAGAAAAGATATGAAAAAAAAAAAAAAAAAAAAAAAAATTTTTAATCCCTTCAAATACCATCCATTACACCACAATATTCCAGAACCATCCCTATTCCTATATAAACCTCCGATGCAATCTCTATTTTCCTCGCACCAAAACCCTCAATTCAACTTAATAACGATAACACTCCTGTGTACTCGAATTTTCATTTCGAATCCTGAGAATCCTAAAAGTTAACTTTTTTTTTTCTCGTTAGTAGCAATGGAGAGAGTGAACAGAATTGTGGCAGAAAAGCCATTGGTGATCTTCAGCAAGAGTTCATGCTGCATGAGCCACACAATCAAAATCCTCTTTAATGAATTTGGCGTTAATATCGGATATCCGCCAAAAATGTTAGGATCATACTGTAATGTTCGGCATTTCTTTGTTGTTAAATATCTATTATTTATTTATTTATTTTGCATTTATGTTATTGAGCACGCGATTAAGTGTCTTCGATAGTTTCGTGATAATACGAGTTGAATACTTGCGTAGAAAAGCACAGAGAGACACCACGTGTATATAGATCTAGAATTGTTTCGTCCTATTTCATAAACAGCAGTTGACACTTTGTAAGAAGTCGTAGAGTCAAATTTTCTACAAATGGAGGTATATGATTCTTTTTACTGCGATGAGTAGATCTTAGGAGTAGTGACATTTGTACACTTAAAACTATATTGGACCAATTTGCAGAATTTTAGACTACGTCATCATAAATTAGCTAAATTCATAGAAGAAAGTCTTTGCTATATGCAGACTTGAAGGCTTTTGATGTGCCAGTCATTAATATTAACATATATGATCAAATATTTCGGTATATTGAAAACTTAGAGCAAGCAAATTATTAAGCACACAGTTCAAAACCTGTAACCAGTTGAGAGGATAATTGAGTCCGTTTATTTATATTCTACTAAACAAGCTGAAATATGAGCTTAGTATTTAGCAACAACTAAATTGATTGTGTGATTTGCATTGAAAAAAATGTGAGTTTAACGAGAAAATAATTAGAAGCATAAGAAGACAATTTCAACCAATTTCTTATTGTTCAGTGTCTCACCGAGTAAGACATAAATGTGGCACATCAATATGATATAATTACGACTTTTTTTTTCATTATTATTATTATTATTATTATTATTAGTAGTAGTAGTAGTAGTAGTAGTAGTAGTAGTAAGCGGAGACTATTCACCATATTAATGGAGAGTCTGGGATTGGATTTACCGTGGATGTATAGTTATAGAAGCTCGATTTATATAAGTTTGATCGAGTCCATTTAACAGCTATTTAAAAATGCATGGACATGATTGCTCTAGCGATGAAATTTCAAGAAAAAAATACCAAAAGTTTCTTAAACTCAGTTGTAGGATTAGTTTTTGGTTCGTTGTGGTTCTCATTTGTTAAGGGAGAAAAATTCCACATCGATTAAATATCGAAATATTGACCAATTTAAAAAGATTTTGGACTATTCCTCTTAATAAAGTTGATTTTATTAAAATGGACCCTAAGTCTTAACAAGGTATTAGAGCCCATTAAGCTGAGCAATTCAATTCGGTTAAGACTCTAAAAATGAGCACACGAATTTCAAGATTAGTCTGCTCAAACGAGTCACCATCTTGCGGAGACATGTTAAGGGATAAAAATCTCACATTGGTTAAATACCAAAATATTGAAAACTTAAAAAGATTTTGGGCTGCCATTCACCAATATATCCAGTACTTTGGATGATAATGACGAAGATCTCTGAGTTTAAAACACAGATTCAAGAAATAGGATTGAATCCTTCCTGTCAGAAAATCCGAATTAATCATGCATCAATGGAAATTTCGCTAAATCCTTATGCGATCAATTTGTTTTTTCTCTGTTGTCCAATATGAATTTCTTTTGTATCGAGATTTCTTTTTAAATAGTTTTTTGATCCAGATTTTATTTGTTCATTATGAATAAGTTTTTTAACATGACATTATGTATCCATTTGTAATTTAGGGAGATTGGTTGTGTTATTTTTCGAGAATTATAGTTTATTGTAATTCATTGTTTGTTGCTGGATTAAACATTCTTAAATAATTGAACTATTAGGCATATATTGAAGAATATTGACAAGCAAATGATAGGGAAAGAGGAACGGGATGAGTACAACATCACCATAGGACTGGACTGTAGATCGAGAAACCCTAAATAGTGGCTCTTGTGATATGTTAGGGTCAGCTTTAGTACTTATTCGGCCTGTACTTTTAGGACACAACCTTTTAAATAATCACTTCCAAACAAGGGCTAATACTCATTTGAATTGAGAATTAAGTAGAATTTCTAGTACGTAGCAATGCAAAGACTTTCTTGGGAAAGATGTAGCTTTATCGTAAAGATTTTTGGGAGAGAAAAAAAAAAGAAAAAGGAAAACGAACAAGAATACATGTAACAAACAAAAGTTAAAGATTAGGAACAAGAAGATGACTAATGGCATGAGGCTGCTTGCCGGAGAATCAAAGGCATTGCAAAGTTAACCAAAATTATATTATTCAATTACGAAGATGGTTACAAAGTGACTATATAAATTGTAAAAACCCTAAAATGTAAATCTATCAAATGAAAGACTAAAGTGAAAAATTAAACTAAATTACTATCATCTTTAACAAGATTAATTATTATCATTACATTTCAAAATAATGTAGATTTATTGAAATTTATTTAAACATATATATACACACACAGAGCATGTGAATTATGTCCCCATTGTTTTTTGGCTACCTGTTTTCCATGGGGCGAATTAGATGCGAATTTTGGTCCCAATTGGATAAATCCAAATTCTTTCACCAACTCAGCAGATGCTTATTGGAAAGGTACACCACAAAGTAATTACTCTGTGAAAGTTGGACCACCGATTTCTAATTATCTTGCTGACAATAATGAAAAGCAAATAAGGTTAATTTCGAAATTCTCTCTTTTTTCCATCACAACATATTTTCCATTAAAAAAAAATAAAAATGAACCATCGTTTTATAGCTTGAAAAAAGTTAGTTCTATGTTATACCACATTTTTTATTTGAAATTGTTGTATAAGTGTCCAACGTGTGTGACCGTCATATAAATTCTTGTTATGCAATACTTCAAAATGACGAGTTAATTTAGAGGAGCCATTCAATCTCCGTTTCATTCTTCCATGATTGTACGAAGGAAGGAAAAAAAATCTCGAAAGCTCTATTTAACGATGACAATTTCAAAATATTGAGTTGGCTCAATCGTTTTTAATGTTGATCCTTACAAATGTGGATTTATAGTGTCCTAAATGATTCGAAGAAGACCTTGTTCTTTCAAACATCTATCCCTTTCATTAAATCGAGATCTAATCTCATAGATATGACGAATCTTTTGCCCCTAAATTCAATGGGGTTATGCTACATGAACCGCGGGAGTGACTGCTAGGATGACCGCATACACACACATGTGGGTGGAGATTTTTTAATTCACGTGAGACCCATTCATCCTATGTGAGGGCACGGTCATCCTTGTGGTCGTCGTCTCAGGTCAAGTGGCTTAACTCAATTCAATGTATGGATTAGTTTGTGTTAACATTGCCCCCATGGCACATCTCCAAGTGGTAAAAGAGGAGGGTGGAGAAATCCAACTTTACTTAAAGTTGCTGCGTTAAGGGTTCGAATCTTGAAATATGGATTTGGCTCTTGGGTAAGTGCAAGTGTACAAGCAGCCTTTTACCCTGTACCCTTGAAGGCATAACCTGCGATTTACCTCCCTCACGATACTCCAGGATAGGAGTGGTGAGGAACCCTTAAAATTAGGGTTTAACCTTTTTTTTAGTCTGTGTTAACATTGATAGATCAATATATGTACATATGTATGATGACGTTAAAAACTCATAGTTATCATCAGAAAAAGAGAAGCCGTACGTCCTAAGGACACGTCTCTATTTCCGTATGAAGAGATTCGTTATCGTCCAACTTTCGCTTTCAATGTAATGACAAAGAAAGAAAAGATATGAAAAAAAAAAAAAAACATTCTTAATCCCTTCAAATATCATCCATTACACCACAATATTCCAGAACCATCCCTATTCCTATATAAACCTCCGATGCAATCTCTATTTTCCTCACACCAAAACCCTCAATTCAACTTAAAAACGATAACACTCCTGTGTATTCGAATTTTCATTTCGAATCCTGAGAATCCTAAAAGTTAACTTTTTTTTTTCTCGTTAGTAGCAATGGAGAGAGTGAACAGAATGGTGGCTGAAAAGCCATTGGTGATCTTCAGCAAGAGTTCATGCTGCATGAGCCACACAATCAAAATCCTCTTTAATGAATTTGGCGTTAATCCTGCCGTGTATGAACTCGATGAAATTCCAAGAGGTGGAGATATCGAGCAAGCTCTGTTAAGATTCGGTTGCAACCCTGCAGTTCCGGCAGTCTTCATCGGTGGTGAATTTGTCGGTGGGGAAAATGAGGTCATGAGTCTCCACCTCCGGCAATCCTTAAAGCCAATGCTTAAAAGAGCTGGTGCCTTATGGGTTTAATTAAAGCCCTACTTCATGTATCTGACACTACGAATAATGCATTTTTGTTGCATTATGAATAGTAGGATAGATTGTCTGTGTGCTGCAGATTTGCTAAGAAGCATTTACTTCAGCTTTTTTTGTGAAGCTGATAATGTTTTTCTAATAAATTAATCTCCAGTTTTGAATAAGTAACTACTTCTGATCATATGTTCTTTTTATTGTTATTGAATAAGTGTTGTTAATGTCATTAAACAAGTCTAAAATTAATGCTATTGTCGTATAATTTTATGCAAAATAATACTTTACATAAACCTTAATTTCCAAATTTGAAACTTCATGATTATGAAATTTACATAGACATAAAATTAATTAGAAAGCGTATCTTGATCCACAGAAAGTTACTGAGAATATCAAACTTTTAAAATTGATGATGACTTCAGTGACTTCTTGAAATTGAAAGACATTGAATGATGGGAATGTGCTCCCATTCATAGGTGAAAACATATTAGAGATGTGCATTTTAACTGTAATCGAACCTCCTGAATCAAAAATGAACTGAAACCAAGGGTATTTTCACATATGTTTTCTTGTAGCTCTCCATTTGGAAAAGTTGTCGACTTAACGACTATTAGTTGAATTTTGAGATTCTGCAATGATGCATTGCCAATTAATATTCCAATATAGGGCTTGGCTAAGTGTACACCGAGGTGTCAAATAGCAAAATTCTCTTATATGATGAAAGCTATCTCAGTAACCTGTAAATATGTACTTGAGAAAGTGAAGCCTTTTTTAATATCTAAATCCTTTGGCTCCAAGTCTGACCTTATACTTATCAATCAATCGATCCATTGAACTTTAATTTTCTTCAAAAAAAATCTGCTTAACCTAAAGACTTTTTACCTGGTGAAAAATCTACTAATATAATTCTCATGCATTATGGTGGATGATTGAATAAATTATAAATTATTTATTCTTGCCATGCTTAATTACAATTTGATTAACTTATATTTTTTATGATATGCGCTGGGTTTTGTTAATACTCAATAAATTCTAACAATGATGTTTAAACAGATAGATTAATTTCATAGACTTCGACTAATAAGTGAAATGTTTATCAATTCCACAATTGATTGACTTGACCCAAAAATAAATTGGGTCATTGGAAACAACTATTAATTTTTGGGGAAAATTAATAAGAACCATACAATTAAAGATTGGTTTTCACAAATAAGGGTTCAAGTTTAAAATTCAAATTTCATGTGATAAATAAATTTATTGTAACTAATGAAAATCAAATTAAATCTAATAATTTCATTTTCAAACCCTGTCATTTCTACTCTCCCTCTCTCTCTATGCACCCGTCCTACCCTCTACCGCCGCCTCACTCCTCCATCGGTCACCCCGACGACAAACCTCATTCCTCCACCACTATTCCTTCTCTCTCTTTACCCATCCACCCGCCTCACTCATTACCCATCTCCAGCATCACCGGCCGCGACGAAGCTTCTCATCGGGCTAATGTTGCGACAGCGCTTGCCGCTACTTGCAGCACTAGTGACGACGAGAAACTTATCGCAACACAACGATGGAGAGAAGCTTCGTCGCTGTCGGCGTTGCTGCAAGCTAAGTTGATTTTTTCATTTCACGAAGATGCTTTTCTGATCTTCTTCTTTAGATTGATATTTTTTTTCAAAGATACTATTTCGTTCTTTTCAAGAAGCACCGACACCCAATCGTTGTATGTGCAGGTGGGCTGAGGCTGCTTCTTGGTAGTGGTAGGTTGAGATGGTGCTAGTGATGTGATGTGTGTGGCATTGTGTGCAGTGGTAGGTTGGGGATCTGTCGAGAATGGTTTGCAATGTGGATGGTTGTGGCTATGTTATTTAGCCAGATTTTTGGGACGGTCCTTGGTGTTTTGTAAATGGTGAAGGTCATTTTTTTGATCTGCAGATGGCATTGGTTCCGTTGATGGTGGTGCAGGTGATCATGGTAAGGTGGTACGCATTTGTTTTTCGAAGATGTTAGTAATGGAGGCAGAGCCAGAAAATTTGTTCAGTACGGAAATAATTTAACCCATGTCGAATATTATGTCTTGGTCATGAATTTAATGATAATAAAACTATAAAACAAATCATGGGTTTGAGCCTAAAAATAAAACCCATATAAATTAAAACATGTTTTTATTCCACCTCCCCTGTTACTTTAGAGGAAAAAAATTGAGAAAAAAGTTCGAGCCTAAAATATGCCCGCACTCGTTTCAACGTGGCTCCGCCACTGGTAATGGTGGTAGTGGTAGCAAACAAGTGTGACCAAGTATTTGCTTTTTGTGACTAATTCTTTTTTGATTGTGATCGATTATGATTTAATCACATACCGTCACGATTAAGATTGAACTGATCACAGATAGTCATACTAAACATAAAATTGGTCACAATTAGTCACACTGAAGATAAATTGGATCACAGTTAATCACAGATAGAGCTAGTTTGTGATTTGATTAAATACAATCACAATTAGTTGGTCACAGACAATCAAATCGAAAATAAATTTTTTCACAATTAATTACATGTAACACGTGTTAGTAACTTGGTTACATATAATCACAAATTTTTATGAAACAACATCGACCTAGTCACAAATAATAAATTTGGTCACAGAGTACATAGGTAGTCACAAATCTAATCACTTACAATGCAAAACTACCACTACCACGATTTCTAAAGAGTTTCCTACATGTGAGGTGAAGTGAGTAGCGAGAGAAACAATATTTAATTTCTGGAGAATTTTCCGTCGTGGCGTGGGATAGGATGGGGTGGGGTGGGGTGGGGTTGTTGCGGTATCATGTCTAGAAAAAAATTATAATATCTGAAAATATGTGGATAAACGTATTATTATGATTGTGGATTTTAGTTTAAGGTGTTAGTGGTGGTGCATTAGGGATGGGATGGGGTCCTAGGATATTATTAATTTAGTGCGATGGAGTAATTAATTCCAATTAATTATGTATTATATATATTTTTAATTGGAATTAACAAGTGAATTTTGAAATAATTTAACAAGTTTGTTAGTTTTGAAATGTAATTCTTATACGTAGGAATGATGTAATGTTTCCTTTGTGTTGTTCATAGTCCATATATTAGTTGGATGACCCTTTAATTTGTTAGTCCAATTCTAATTAAAGCCTACTTCATGTATCTGACACAACGAATAATGCACTTTTGTTGCATTATGAATAGTAGTAGGATAGATTGTCTGTGTACTGCAGTTTTACTAAGAAGCATTTACTTCAGCTTTTTTCGTGAAGCTGATAATGTTTTTCTAATAAATTAAACTCCAGTTTTGAATAAGTAACTACTTCTGATCATATGTTCTTTTTTATTGTTATTGAATAAGTGTTATTAATGTCATTAAACAAGTCTAAATTAATGCTATTGTCATATAATTTTATGCAAAATCATACTTTACATAAACCTTAATTTCCAAATTTGAAACCTCGTGATTATGAAATTTACATAGACATTAAAATAATGAGAAAGAGTCTCTTGATCCATAGAAAGTTACTGAGAATATCAAACTTTTCAAGTTGATGATGATGAAACTGTATTTCTTTTGTGACTTCTTGAATTTGAAAGAGATAGAATGATGGGGATGAGCTCCCATTCATAGGTGAAAACAGATTAGAGATGTGCATTTTAACTGTAATCAAACCTCCTGAATAAAAAATGAACTGAAACCGAGGGTATTTTCACAGATGTTTTCTTGTAGCTCTCCATTTGGAAAAGTTGTCGACTTAACGTCTGTTAATTGAATTTTGAGATTCTACCATGACGCATTGCCAATTAGTATTCTAATATAGGGCTTTGCTAAGTGTACACCGACGTGTCAAATAGCAAAACCCTCTAATATAATGAAAGCTATCTTTGTAACCTGTAAATATGTACCTGAGGAAGTGAAGCCTTTTTTAATATCTAAATCCTTTGGCTCCAAGTCTGACATTATACTTATCAATCAATCGATCCATCGAACTTTAATTTTCTTTAAAAAGAAAAATCTGCTTAACCTAAAGACTTACTACCTGGTGAAAAATTTACAATTCTCATGCATTATGGTGGATGATTGAATAAATTATAAATTATTTATTCTTGCCGTGCTTAATTACTATTTGATTAACTTATATTTTTTATGATATGCGCTGGGTTTTGTCAATACTCAATAAATTCTAGCAATGATGTTTAGACAGTTAGATTAATTTCATAGACTTCGACTAATAAGTGAAATGTTTATCAATTCCACAATTGATTGACTCGACCCAAAAAAAATCGGGTCATTGGAAACAACTATTAATTTGTGTTGGGGAAAATTACCAAGAACCATACAATTAAAGACTGGTTTTCACAAATAAGGGGTTCAAGTTTAAAATTCAAATTTCATGTGATAAATTAAATTATTGTAACTAATAAAAATTAAATTAAATCTAATAATTTCATTTTCAAACCCTGTCATTTTGACTATCCTTCTCTCTCTCTCTCTCTCTCTAACTAATCCCACTCTCTCTCTATCGCCTAGCCACCCGTCGCACCCTCGACCGCCGTCCTCACTCCATCGGTCACCTCGGCGACAAACCTCATTCTTCCACCACTATTCCTTCTCTCTCTTTACCCATCCACCTGCGTCACTCATTACCCATCTCCAGCATCACCGGTCGCGACGAAGCTTCTCGTCAGGCTAATGTTGTGATAGCGCTTGCCGCTACTTGCAACACTAGTGACGATGAGAAACTTCTCGCAACACAGCGACGGAGAGAAGCTTCGTCGTTGTTTGCGTTGCTGTCAGCTAAGTTGATTTTTCATTTCACGAAGATGCTTTTCTGATCTTCTTCTTTAGATCGATATTTTTTTTTTTACGAAGATACTATTTCATTCTTTTCAAGAAGCACCGGCACCCAGTCATTGTATGTGCAGGTGGGCTGAGGCTGCTTCTTGGTAGTGGTGTGTACAGTGGTAGGTTGAGATGGTGTTAGTGATGTGATGTGTGTGGCATTGTGTGCAGTGGTAGGTTGTGGATCTGTCGAGTATGGTTTGCAATGTGGATGGTTGTGGATCTGCTATTTAGCCAGCTTTTGGGATGCTCCTTGGTGTTTTGCAAATGTTGAAGGTCATTTTTTTTGTTCTGTAGTGGTGTAGATGGCAATGGTTCTGTTGATGG